CTAAACACAGTTAAATTTTTCTGTGTGAAAACAAACTAGACAATAAAAGAAAAAATAAACGACAAGTTTACAAAAAGAAAGAAAGAACTACAGGTGTGAAAACACTCTAAGATGGTCATGTCTATCATGGCGTCCAGTTCAGAGACTTGAACCAATCAGCAGACTCCATCTCTGCACATACACCCACACAAATCCTGAGGCAAACCAAAAATCACACAGTGAGCATGGATCATAACACATTGCATCACCTGACATGAATCAATAGGTCTGTGCAGTTTTCATACTGTACTGTTTATATCCTGTTACTGTATGTACAGAATAGAATAAATCTCCTGTTACATATAAACATGGTAAAGAAAAATTGGTTGATCACTACTTTAAATGTACACTTTTTCATTTGACTGTTAACCTTAATATCTTTGCAGAACAATTAAAAAAAGTCATACTTGATAAAAGATAAAATATACTAGTTTGTCTATAATTGTATGTTCAGTGGTTTCTTCACAAGTTTCTGAAAGACTCATCGTGTCTCGAATCAACATGTTACTAATCAACCAATACCACTGTATTTCCACTGGTTGAGCAGATGACCCATAAGTCAAAGTCCACTGCAGAGGCCAGGCTTTGAGTCAACCACTCCCTAACCACACAAACCTGCTTTTCTGTCCGCACTCTGTACTGCATTTAAAATAAGTCTTATAAGTTGTGTCCCCAAATAATTTTTAAAGGCAGTGGTTTCTGGATAAAACTTCAAGTACATTTGTGCTTAAGCATGTCTCCACCTTCTTTCAGGGGCCCTAACCCCACCAAGGTGATCCAGCAGCTCTTGGCCCTCCGTCCAGATCAGCAGCTCTACATCTTCAATTCCCTGAAGACTCACCTGACCGAGAAAGGCCTGCTGCCAGCGCTGGAGGAGGCCGCCGCAGCTTAGAGCCGCCAACAACCACAGCTAGCTCGCCCTAAGAGGAGGGGAGAGATGGGAAAGGAGGGCAGCGGCACCCAGGGAGCCCCCCGCACCCCTGGAGCTCTGGGAAGACTCAGTGCTTTTGCGTGAGCGAGAACACATCCAAGAAAAACAAACCGAAAACCACAAAATCGACAGCCTTGGGTCATTCCATTTCATGTGGGTGTGGGAGTCATGCTTGTCTGTGTTCCTACAGTCTGTGAATCATGTTTCTGTCACCAGTGTTTTCAGGTTGAGTTTGTGAATTACTGTACTTTTACACATTTCCATTACCGTCAACCTCTATCTATTTACACTGTTAAACAAAATGTTGGTTTGCTGTACATTTCTACCTGTACACACAATATCCTCTATATATACCTTATTATTAATGTGTGTCGATATTTTATTGTTCTTTTTTTATTATTTCAATGCACTGCTCTCAGCGCTGTTACTCACTGTATTCTTACTCTACTGCACCCTCCCTCTAATTTAAGGGTAATTTTCTTTATTGTGAGTTTTTCTATTTATAAATAGATGTTTTTATATTTGGTATGGTTCTATTATATCTTAATGTTGTCTTTTCTTTCTTTTCTTTTTCTTTTTTTTAAAGTCAAGCTAAATTCACCATCGCCATCTGCCATGTACATTTTTTTGTCTTTGTTTTTTTCTGCCATTCATCAAAGCCTCTCATGCTTGGCCAAATCTTTAAGATGTTATTGTGCCGAAATCAAAGGTGAATGACTAAATTAGACTTGAAGGGGACCTCTAATGCTTTGTTCCAGCTCTTGGATGGTAGCTTTATGTGATTCACAATTCCTTATATATCCTACCCCGGGCCTTGCTGCAGCTCCTCAGTTCATCCTCGGAAACGAGTTGTTTCAGCTTCCTTCCCTTTTAAACTTTCTTCTGATTGGCAGCCGCGCATAAACAGACTTTATATCACACTGAGCCAAGAATAGGGGGGGGGAAGCTTTCTAAAGCCAGACAGCTCCCAGAGATTGCACATGCACTGACCTCATGTTTGAAAGGTTAGCCATGGTTATTAATATGAGCGTCCACCATTGTAGCTGTGTGTGTGTGTGTGTGTGAGATAACAAATAAAGGAAAGCAGTACAGGTCCACTTTAGGTCCATCAAGTCTTTGAGTTCAACTATTGGTGGTTTTGTGTTTACGGAGCATAAAAGCTACGTTATCATCTTGTTGCGGTTCAGCAGAAAAGATGTCACAAATAGAGCTGGCTATGTTTGTTTTACATATTTTTTTGTTTTGTTTTGCGGTCCGTTGCTTGTTGATTGTAAGGTACAGAGGGATTGTTGCATTAGGGCTACTCCCTCAGACAGCTGGAATGTGTAACAGTGCCACAGTTAGGGTTTCTACACTGCCACCAGCTGCTTGTGCGTGCTGTGATGTCACTGTTTTTCACCGCTTGAGCGCAGCACATACAGCATATCGATACTGACTGATCAACTTGATTTATTTGTGGCCTGTTGCCGTCTCATTGGGTGAAACTTTGGCCAATACAATCCGTTATTGTGTACGTATTGCAGTTCATTCCCTTTTCCAGTGGCGGCTTTTCTTTTATTTTTGCCACTTTCAAGTGTGTTTGTGTGTATTGGATTTAACGATAAAATATAAAAGCTGGGACTTCATCAAAGTTGGCTTCTTTTCTGATTTCACACACAATCTGGGGATGTTTAAGTGCCACCACATTGTTTTTATTAAACCTGCCACACATTGACTGATGCTCTTGATCATTTCATAATCTGCAGACAGATTTTGGTGGAATAAAGTGGGCCTTTGAGTCAGGGATACGCTGCTGAGATGCATTGTGGGAATTGTCTGGCTGATTCATCCTCAGCTTTTCCACTTTTTCTTCCACTGTGCTGAGTTGTTAAAGTTCACAGACAGATGGAAAATTAATCCACTCAGATTACCGGTGATTGTTCAGGTGAGAAGCCCTGTACACAA